ATTGGTTAATTTAAGTACGCTGCGTGGGATGGAGTGGCAATGGATTTGGGGTAATTTCGGGTGAAGGGATCGATGGTTATGGGAATCTTGGAATGCGGTTTTTGGCGGATGGGAAATTGGGGATGGGGTTTTTTCGGTGTTGGTGATAGTGATGGGGATGGTGGGTCGGCGATTGCAATTTCTGCTGTTTGGAGTGATCGTTCTGCTAGCTTCGGTGTTGGATAGTGGTTGGTGTGAGGCTGTTCAGTTACATTTGTTGCCTCGTCTTGGGGGCGTAGATAAGAGTTGGGATCTCAGGATTGCGCTCCGATTGGTGTTGTTTGGTGGTTGAACTTTGAGACTGCATCGATTGTCATGCTGTTTCGTCCCGTGGTTGTATATAAGATTGCACGATGAAGCAAATACGGCTTTAACTCGGACTATGGCCTGGTCATGATTTGGGCCGTTTATTGAAGTTGTGCTTTGATATACTATTACTACTGCATCTATTCCAGCCCGTTCTGACCCCAATATCTGAGTATGCAGTCCTTTGATATATGGAGTGAAGATTGGAGGGCTGGCATGTTTTGTTGGCCTGAGTCTTTATCGCTGTAGCGAGTCGTTTACGGCCAATCACGATCTAGTTGGTATTGCTCTCGCATTGAAAACTCCTGACGCAGCTCTTTCTCTGATAATAAGCTCCACCATCGAAAAGAGTAGGAAATATAGCAACGAAGGATTGACCTTTTTGTTGGGTGCCGCATGCCTAGATCAGCCATGCGCTTGTCATCCCATATGGCAAATCCATATTTGCGCCAGCACTTAAAAGGGTACACAAGCGTAAGTGGACCCCCATCTTCGTATCCCTCAAGTGAGGACATTCTGGACCAAAAGAGGTACCCACATGGCCCTAAGTATTCGCAACGTGGATCCTGATTGAATATGTCCTTGTTGCTATCGACGAAGAAGACCGGCTCGGCACAGTAACACCTAGACACTGCTCCTTCTTCCCAACGTATCGTTGGCAAATCAAAAGCGTTGTTCTTAACAGCTTCCACCGAAGCAATGGACCCAGAGGTGACTGCGTCGAGAAAATCGCTGGCGGTCAAGATCTGCTCTCGCACGGATTTGTGCACGTCGTAAAAGCCATCCGCGCTGCTCTCGAACAACGTATCAATTTCCTCTCTCGGCCAAATGGCGTCCAGGCGGCCCTTACGACCGGCGTCCTGGAGTTCCAGGAGGAATTGTAGTCGCCAGAACGATTCCATCATCCGCTTCTCTTCCACGTACGAAGGTGGGCCGGTTTCCTGTGGAATGTAGTCCTTTCGACTCTCGGCGCTTTCGAAACGTTCCCGGACCATATTCCCAGACCCCATTTTGATGAGTGTGGAGGGCCTTAGCTGCAAAGATTTTCGTATCAAATGTTCAAGGCAGGCATGAGACCAGGCATGCACATTCGCGGCGCTAGCGAGCAAAGACCGTACTGCCGCGGCGGCTCGGTCCAGTCCAGACGAACGTATGTTTTCGGTGGCGAAAACCCAGTCAGCTTCAGCAATAGTTTGAGCCTCGGGCATGGATGCGAAGAAGTCTGAAAAGCGAGCTTTGAGGACCGCGTCCATCAGGCGACGCGTCTGCACGGGAACGGTAGCCTCTAGAACCTCCTCCACAATTTCGAGCGGATATCTGTCGAGCACTCTGCCCATAGCGGGCGACGCGTGGGCCAGGTTCCGTAGTGAGAAAGGGTTCGGAGAGAGCTTGATTATCTTGATCCTGAGCTCCTCGGGGAGTTGACCAAATGGGTCTTTTTGAGTGTTCTCAGCCATAGTCGTTTCCAGCGCTCTCGGTGTTGCTTTCATGGGAAGAGTCTGGAGAGAAGAAGGAGCCGTGGACTCGACAGAAATTATGTGCGCCTGCTCACTCTACTTCCTTCGCCTCGCGTACTAGCCTCATTCGGTCTCACATGCACACAACTGTGCCGCTCAACCGCATACCTGAACAACGTTCAGCAACGTCCCTCTCGACGATGCCCAAGCCCCGCCCATTAGCACTGCCAGGTCGCCGGCTTCAGTCGGTCTTCGCGCCGAGGCTTCTTCGCAACTATGCCTCTCTCCACGATTGTTCGTTTCTCCATCTCGAGACCTGCGCCTAGAATTATCAGCTTTCCTACTACGAGCATCGCCACGGGATTGAACGCTCATCGCAGTTTCCATGGGCGATTTGGCGCTACAGAGTTGCAGTCAAGTGCCTTGCGCAGACTTCGGTACGACTGCGATGTAAGATTATACCTTCGACAGCCCAGCCGACGACGAAGTCTCCATGTCTTTGTACCGGCCCCAGCTCCCGTGGTTCGGTCGCTCAACTTCTTTTCGTACTGGTATTACTACTTGCGCCTTCGGTAAGTCAGCCCATAGACCCGAGTTCGCCCACTCGAGCTGATCTTGCAGAGTTCTGCACCTATTATATGTCAGACAGGGCGATTTTCTCACCTCTGAACTACAACTCCATTACCCGAACCCAACACCAGCGGAACAGGAATGTTTGGAGTGTGCTTATACCGCTCTGCAGATACCTAGATCGTTCAGTATCCTGGCTTATTTCAATGGCTTGTCTTACACTATCTCACGTGCAGATATCATCCGAATCTCGGATGCATGTTTTGCCCTGCGACACGTCAAGTCCAGCATGCGGTCGTACCCATCGGATATCCTAACGCGGATCCACCCAACCGTTAGGGTAGTTCTGAGCAGCCTCGAGAGTGTACTGAGAATATTCCAAGACAACCTTGCGGTAAGAGGCGAACTCGCCGATGTTGCGCCTGAGGAGCTTCCCAGTCTGACCAAACAAACCCTGGAGATCGTGGTCGATTTTTCCGAGTTCTATATGGGAAGTAAAACGTGGCTGGCTGCGGAACTACCAGTTCATGATGCTACGAAGATAACTACAGCTCTGCATCGACATCTCAAAACATGCATTTGTTGGTTCAAATGGATGGAAGACATTGGAGCTCGAAGAGTCGGAATTCCGACACAAGAACGAAGAAGTTCCATATATGGAACCATCCGGGATGCTAGGGGGTGGCAGACGCGCTCTATAAAGGAAGGCCAGCAGGTACTCCGTCTCCTCGATAGATGTTCTTCGACGCCGGGAGTTGAACACGTTCGGGCTGAGGTCACTAAAATCGTGGATATGCACAAAAGACTCCTCGAGAATTATTGACAACCCCTGCATTATTGCGCGAGAGCATAGAAACGCGATGTACCTGAACGATTGCTCGGCTCGCGAGATATAGTACTTCAGTGGGGTTTCCGCAAAGTCGTCGGGCCGCTGAGGGTTGGAACCAGCGTATCTGAATAAATGCAGCAGTAGAGAAGGGTCAAGCGGGCTGTTATCCTAGTGGGCGGGCGCGTCCTGGGTCTATGCTGGTATTGCATCGACAACAATGATGGAAACGATTGAGAGCCGATGCTTGCCGGCCGCATCCCGAGGTCTCATTTCTCTGGACTGAACGAGGCCGATATTGCAATGTAACGACTGTTAGTATAGACTGGTAGCGCCATCAATTGGATGAGCATCATGTCCTTACCTTTACGATATGCTTGAAACATCTGGAGAAAAGTAGTGTAGTGGCACGTGACGCTGAGAGGTGGAAAATCGGCACGAAGTCGGTGCCTCCACGTCCCGCGTTTCCGATGCCAATACCGATTTTGATCCTTTCCATCTCTTCAGCCTCAGTATTGGCATGGCAGTCATACATCTGGTATGCATGTGAAAGTCATCTCGCCATTCTTCCTCCTTCAAGCGACCTCGGGATGCAGGATCTCGTCGCGTATCGTGGTGACGCATAGACACACGAGATTCGGCGTTGTTTCCCGCCAATCTCGTCACGATTGCACCAGAACAACGGGGACGCCGCGTCGGAGGATCCATCGAAGGAACACGATGGCAAGTGTGTCATGTCGCGAATCCGAGGATCCTGCACCGATACATATACATAGCATTGTTGTTGACCTTGCCGATTAGTCGGGATCCCAGCACAAGAGATGAGACAGAATCCTGCGCCGATCGATTGCGATTAGCGCGACACCCAAAGAAGAACGACGAGATGAATCAGCGAGTCATCTGGCGTCGGAGGCTAACGATTGGCCCGGAAATTTCACCCTGGCCGTGTTTGAAGATCTGTGGCGGCTGTCCCTGTGTGCAGGATTAAACTGGTGATGATATCAATGGCCAGTGCTCTTTGCGCAGGATTCCGCAGGGGGATGCGCATTCAGCCAATCTTTGCGTTTGCTTCCAAACCTCGGATTATTGCGGCTGGCTACTTGCGAGTACCTGAACCTCGAACCTGCGTTCGTCGTGCTCGGCAGACGGCAGATATTGACATGTCACTCCTGGTACCCTTGTACATATACTGGAGTCAAGGGCGATGAGGCGTAACAGCCCCGAAAAATCCGCACTGCCACGGGACGCGGGATGGAAGCGTCGAAGCAAAGAAGGGCCTCACTTTCTATCCTTTTGGAAGAACAATTACAGCAAGAGGTAACGGGGTGGTGTATGGAAGCCGGGTACCGCACACATGGACGGTCTAAAAGCAACACCAGCGCTCACCGCCGTGGAACCTTCTCTCGCGCGCCGTACGCGCAGCCCGTGGCGCGATCCCTCAGGCCAGAAATCTGGCGTCCAGAAAGCGTTTCTCCCAGCGGTACCCCTGCGTAAAGTTTGGGCGAGGACCTGTCAAATGCAAGCATCCGCAAATCGCAGTTCGCTTATCAGCTAGCGTTGAGCCTCCAACACGTCTCCACCTGCGTTAGTCTTGCGTGGACGGCATGAACCCAGCTTGGCAACGGCCCTGAATCGTCAACCGTAGCCTCGTGGGAGAAGGCGGCAGACGGTATCCTGTCAGTCATTAGGGCTTGCGTTCCCGCCCTGCGGCGTGGGTCGTTCGCCAACCTTATAGTTTCTGCATCTTCCAAAGCAGCGCCGGCGCTGGCGTTCCACTTTACTCAGGTACGACGTTCTTCACGATGTCGACATGGGAGCAAATGTACACCGATATGGTGCTGCATGCACCGGATCCAGATGAGGAGCTGCCCTTGTCGAATCGCAGGGCGACGATGTTCGGCACTACGCTCACTTTCTTGGTACGATGTCGTGATATATCTCGATGTATCATCCGCTAACCTCACAGATAGATCATAGCATGGTTTGCGGTTTTCTTTCGTCTGTATGTCCGCATCAGAGTCGTCAAGGAATTGGGCTGGGATGATGCGTTTGTGTTCCTTGCTCAGGTACGTTCACCGTTGACAGATTTTACGCGTTTGACATGAAGCTAACTCAGTCTAGTCGTTGAACACGGCAGCCACCGTCGTAATGTGTCTTTGTAGGTGGTCCATCATGCTTGTGGTATGATCTCGACTAATATGAGTAGCTGTCAAGCAAGGACTGGGTGAGCACATGTTGTACATTGGCTACAACCGTCTAGTAGAATATCTGAGGGTATGCTTATTCCTCAACTAGATGGTGCCACCTGCTAACCAATCCAGTTGTACTACTTCGAAATGGCCATATACGTCACCAACTGCGGCGTCATCAAGATCGCTCTCTTGCTCCAGTACCTCCGCATTTTCAAGGCTGGACTCATGCGATGGATTTGCATTGGCCTCCTCGTCGCTGTGACTCTTTGGGGTATCGCCTTTTCGATCACCGCATGGTTCCCTTGCTTTCCAGTGCGAGGGTACTGGGACCGCACAGTATCTGCGAACTGCTACGGCTTCGGACTCGGAGACCTTGATAGCTTCATCGCTACGTACAAAGCGCAAGCGGCCACCAACATGTTGTTAGATATCTCCATTTTCATTGCGCCAATGGTGTTGTTCAGAACACCAAACCTGCGATCCAAGAACGTGTTCGCAATGGCTGGCGTGTTCACCTTTGGAGCTGTGTAAGTCGCTCATGCCACCCGGCCCAAGCATTCCATACTAACATGATCATAGCGTTGTCGGAACATCAGTCTGGCGACTCCACGGCATCGTCGAAACCAAAGGCGCAACCTATCCCTACGTCGACTACACCTGGTGGTCGCCAACTCTCATCATCCTCACCTGCCTCGAAATCGACCTTGCCATCATCTGCGCCTCCATGCCCATTTTCTGGCCCATCATCGAGAAGTCGCTCAGCGCCATCTTTGTCAGCTACGAAGTCCAGGTCGTAGAGGAGCGCGTCGACGACTACGGTCTTACCTACGAGTTGGAGCACATGAAGGGGGACGACAGGCCATGCAGCATAAAGAGCAGCGGGACGAGCACACAAGAGTTGACGAATGATGATGAGGAGTCGCATCCGAGGAGACCACAATTCACGGTAGGCTTTGATCCGCTGAGTGAGGAACAAAGAAACAATGGGTTGAGTACGAATGTTCAGTCGACAGCTCAGTCGAAATGGCAGCTCTAGATGGTCATGCATATACATCTCAAACCCAATAAAAACACATGCAAACAATCACGTATTCGCAACACGCATACTGATCGTAATAGCAATGGAACTGACACTATCTTCTCAGCAAAACCTCCCTCTACTCACACCAACAGCCACGCATCACATCCCTACGTCATCCCTACTCCCCTTCGGCCCGCCATCCACTTCACCTCACCTCCCGCACACCTATGCACTTGCCCCAAGGAACCTCCCTGCGACTACCACCTCACCCCACAGCCTTGAAACACAAAACCACCGAAGACATCTGTTCGGCCTCATGTGTACGTACAGTATTACCACCCTGTCCACCCCACGCAGCTGTTACGGCCGAACGAAAGGTAACACTACTGTCATTGAATCGCAAAGCGCGATGTCAATGTCACAAAGTACCACCGGGCACAGCGACACTAGTCGCGCGTCTAGATCCTTCGGTGTCGCGCGCTACATCCCGGTGTAACTAATCTGGGCAATCCATCTCCGTGGGGGCGCTGCTGTGATAGCTGCGCCAGCACGCCAGGCACAGTGCAGTCAAAAAATTCTCCGGGCCTTTAGTGGAGTGCAGGTTGATTGCGCGCAGTTGTGCATGAGTAGAACAAGGTCATGTGGGTGATGGGATTACGGGGGCTGGGGGCTGGATTGTCGGGGATGTGATGCGTGTTGCATGTGAGGCTGAAGGTCCGAAAAGATGGCCATGGATAAGAGTAGTGCGTTGCGTGCGACGGGAGGGGAAGGGTGGAAAGTGGGAAAGTATGGCGGTAAGCTGGGAATTGCGCTTCGGGGAGGTGAAGTCGGTCCGATCGGAGGTTTATCGATAATGAGATGTTGATGGATGGGCGATCTGGTGTGACGCGCAGAGCTTCAGCTGAGATGGAGAGGTGGGTGGGGAGAAGGTGTGGCGAGATTTTTTGGGTGTTGGAAAGAGTGGTGTCGGGAATAGTGAGAGGGTGTATAGGTGGGTAGGGTGGTGGTGTGCAAGATTTGCCGATAATTGTACTTCTTTTTATGTTGTTGAACTCGCCGTCGTCTACAGGTATTGGCCCTTCGCTATTTGTAGTCTCGATTGTCGCAGCCTTTGTCTGCCAGCATCTCTGAATCTTCGGATCGCGTTTCCCTTCTCATTCCCGGGGTTTTTGTCCACGCAGTCGAGAACTCTCCATAGTATGTGCGTGAACTTTGACGATCTCTACATCTCCATCAACTCAAGAACGTTGCGGCTGAACACTTCCCTCCACCTACGCTGATCTTCACATGAAGAACTCAACCACTTCCCAAGATCACCACCACACATTATCCCGAAACCCAAACGTCGACGTTAGAGCAGGTTGCCTTAGGCGAGCACTTTCTGGTGCGATATTCATGTCCAGGACCAGTCAAACGTTAGTGCATTACGCCGTTGAGAAGCTAGTGGTTAAATGGGTGCGTAGTGGTTTGAAGAGACGATGGTTTTAGCTTTCGTTGCTTTTACCACGTGCAGCCCTGAACTTGCTTTTTGCTGATCTTGACGTGCATCACCCGCACTCCCGGCAAATGTAAAATGGCGAAGCTTATTTGCCGTATGGCGCGTTGTGGCGTACACAACTCAGGTAGCTTTAGCCTCTAGGCCAGCTGGCGTGTTCCCATGGAGAGGGATGCGCGCGGGGTTGTCAGGTCGTAGTGGCATGCGTACTGCATCATGAGGCTTCCTGTCGCGTTCCCGCGCCAATGTATTGATGAGTTATTAAAACGACATCGAGGTGAGGCGAGTGTGTCAGTATATTAGTGCTTGCTGTTATGGCCGACGCGTCCACAGAGGCACGTCAGCCTAGGCACACATAGAACACCCTAGAGCCTACATCAGCTTTGAGTTACCTAGCTTGCATGTTTTTCTCTTAATGTAGTCTGCAGACCTGTCCAGTCTTTTGCTTGCATGAGGTTAGCTGTTTTGACGAATCACGTGGAAGACGCGTCTTAGCGCGACCGGATTGGAAGCGGGGATCGCCACCCCTGAGGTCTTCTTTCCACATCGCGACGCGTCGCCAATATCATGACGCCACCCGCGAACGCGAGCGAACGAGTTGTCATAGCCGAATCTGGGGACGCATTGCTTACCTTACGCAACCCGGGTGCACCCTTCGCTGTTTGGGACCATGAAGCCGAAGATGACGATGCAGCCGAAAACTCTGTCATTACAGGAGAGGGCAATGAAGATGAAGGCGCAGATCAAGGCCTGAAGGTACAAGGCTCGCCACAGAAGAAGAGAAGGATGGCGGAAAGATCGAGGCAGGGAGCAGAGAATCAAGACGTTTCAGGGGACGATGCAGAATGCCCTTGCTTTGTGTATCAGGTCTCGTCTCAACACCTGATCACAGCTTCACCGAAGTTCAAGAGCGAGCTGACTTCTTGGAGTGAGAGTCTTAAAGGAGAGGATGGCTTTTACCATATCAACACGACAGATTGGGATCAAGAAGCCTTCACTATCCTACTGAACATTCTTCATCTACGCTTCCGTCAAGTGCCGAAGTCGCTAAGCTTGGAACTGCTTGCTAAAGTTGCCATGCTGGTAGACTATTACCGATGCTGGGAAGCTTTCGACTTGATAGCTGACTTATGGATTACGAACCTCCGGAAAGGACACGAAATACCGCAGAAATACGATCGCGAGTCAATGTTGTGGATGCTGATATCCTGGGTGTTCAAGTTGGATAAAGTATTCTCCAGTACCACAAAGAATGCGCTGCTTCAGAATGATGAGCCAAGTGTTCGGGATATGGCATTAGGCATTCCACCTGTCATTCTTCGTACGTCAGACGTAGTATTTCTTTACAGCGAATCAACTAATGCGAGTAGAAGCCCTAGATTCTCGTCGCGCGGAGTTGATAGCGCGAATGGTAAAAACTTGTCATAAATGGATCGACCATTTCTGCGATACCTATCATTGTGTGTATGGCGACACATTCGAGTGTAGCTCGATACTACTTGGTGCACTCATGAAACAAGCGAAGATCATGGGCATCTCTTCTCCGCAACCGACGGCGCCATTCGACGGCATGAATGTCACTGGCCTGCGAGAGAAGATAGAGGGGATGCAGACACCAAAGTGGTATGGCTACCGCGGTATGGGAGACCATGGCTGTAATCTCAGGGATACGGTGATCCGAGAAGTATCTATGGTTGCAACCAACATTTCTGGACTCACACTAAACGACTTTGTGGATCGTGGTGAGGTTGAGGCGGAGTAGACGCTCGATCACAACAACGATCAAAACATCTAGGCTTGCTCACTACATTTACACGGGACCTGTTATCGATACCAGTGGTAGCTATAGCCTATGTCGCATTCTTCGAAAACTATCTTAGGGTAGGAGCCTACATCATCTTCTGATCTGTGTGTTTGTTAAGTTATGGTGCTATGTATACTGCAGGCTGTGGCACCACTATCAGCCCCAGAACTTGAGCTGTCGTCAATTAAGTTGGTGTAGTCAATATAACAATCGATACTTTCACAAGTATATCGTTCGAATCCCCGAGTTCTTCTCGCCTATCGTTAGGCCGCGCATCGTATCGGCTTGAATGTATGCCGCGAGCATATCAAAATCGTACATGATTCTCTCGAGAAGAGTATGTTATGGCGCGTCGTACGCAATCCATTAGAATGTGGCTGTTGGGATTGCGCTTCGTTCACCCGCGCCCAAAGTTCTTTCAGTGAACCTACCTGGGGAGTCAAGACAAGCATCTGCATCCCATACTTGACTACGAACGCCCTCGTGGTAGTTGTGATCGTACCTATATTGACACGAGATGCGCGGTCGGCGCCCACCTCAGTGTGGGTAGAGACTAACTAACCCTTGGGATCGGTATCATGAACGATGTCTCTATGACTAGCCCTAGGGACTCTCACGGGCTGATATTTTCTTTGAGCTGTGAACCTTGGAGTTAACAGGCAAGTTCAAGGTCGTGTCTGGAATCCAAAACAGCGAGATATCAATACGACACGTCTTCACTTTCACTTTCACTTCCGCGCCACAACGGAGCTCGGCGTGTCTCGCTCCGCCTAAGCGATGACCAATATTTGCCCTCTCTCAAAGACGCAAGCCATCACCACTTACTACCCGAATATGGCGACTGAGGAGCCCTCGTCCGCTGATAGGGTGCTTACCCCCAGGTATGTTTCACATCGTGTATCACAAAACATCACTGATCCTCGCATAGCGTCGCAACGGTGTCGGACACCACAATCGTCAAAGTTGGTGCTGAGGGCAAAAGGTACAACCTACACATCGACCTTCTCAAACATCACTCCGGCTACTTTCGTGGAGCACTTTCGGGCGCATTCAAGGAGACGGATGATGGAATCATTACTCTACTCGACATTGATACCGACGCGTTCGACGTCTTCGTTGACTGGATATACACCGGCGTTGTCGCTCCGATAGAGTTCCCAGCTAAGACCGTCAATCATATCGGTCCCAAGTTTCGGTCGTATATTTTGGCAGATCGACTACTGGCTCCAGGACTCAAATCGGCTATCATGGACCTCTTCGTCTGCTATCAAGGAGCCGGTCCGATAAAAATACCCGGTTGTCACGGTATTATCTACTGCTATGCAAATCTTCCCGAGAGCGATCCCTTGATTCGGCTGGTCGTGGACTTGTGGTGTTTCAAAGAAACTATGAGCTCCATGAACGATGAGGTTGTAGCTTTGCTACCCCAGCTGCCCAAGGACTTTCTTGTTCGTTATCTGGTCAGGATGAGAGATTTCAAGGCAGGAGCAGCATCGACCACATGTTTGAAGCGTGAAGATTACAACTAGGGTGCTAGAACTGGGCAGGTCGAAGCTTTATACGTTCAAGTTGTAGCATCGTTCGTGTGTGTCTAGCTTCAGATACTCAAGCGTTATCTGAATGAACGATATTGCCTCCGATCAACATATTACGTGTAGGTTAGAACTGAAGTCAGTATCTCAGTGCATCCAACCGTACTTTGCGATCCCTGACCACGTAAGTGAAATCGAAGAGTAAAACGAGCGGTGATAGGAAGCATCCTAGGTGAGAGAGCAGGATGGCCCTCATTTTACGCAATCCGCTGGCCATCTTGCTATAAGTAGTAGGAAGCTTTGTAGATCTTCCTCCTACCTCTTCTCACCTACACCACGATCTCGTCTACCTGCTCTTCTTGATCCTTGCAGAGTATAGGCAACATCAGCGCCCATCTATATCAGCAAAGGACAAGGATACTTCACATCCAAGGCGGGATCATGAAGAAAGTTGAAGCACCTCGCGCGAGGTAAGTAACTGACCGTGAAAATCGCAAAGAAGTGTACTGATCATTCCACATAGCGCCGTTGCCGCATCAGAGACTGTCGTTGTCATAGCCGGAGATGAGGGAAAGCGGTACACTCTACACAAGCGGCTTTTGAGGCACTATTCCGGATATTTCCGTCGGGTATTCGTCCACGGGGTCAATGAGCATCGCATGCACAACGCGACAGTTGAAGGCTTCGATGTCTTCGTTGATTGGATATATGAGACAAGACTGCGCCCTTCTGTCGACATGCATGGCGATGAGATGAACTGCATGCTCAAGGCCTACCTGGTGGCGGCAGAACTGTCAGTTGGACCACTGAAGAAGGCGGTGATGAACCGGATGTTTGATGATCTCTCAAGAGGAGGCAGTGTCAGGGCTTGGGCTGTCCAATGGATGTTTGAGTCTTTGCCAAACAACGACCCCTTCCTTCAGCTCATCGTAGACGCATTTTGCATCAACGATGGTGTGAAGAATATGGACGTGGAGGAGTTCGCGATGATCGACGACCTACCGAAGCAGTATCTGTGTCGTATACTCCGAAAGCAGCACCAGCTGAGCGAGCTACCAGACAAGAACCGAGTTCTTGCACGCGAAGACTACAGCATGGTGGTCTGCCTGTAGTACACGGTTCCAGGGAAAGCTTGGCTTATTTGCAAGCTAGAAAGACGGCTGAAAGGAAGCATGACAACAAGGCAGGCTTGCAATTGATCCCAACCTTGGGAGTCTTTGACGTGAGGAGGGAAAGGCGAGAGCTGGGTGACTACGGATGGTCCCTTCGGCAGAACAAAAGTTATCACTATCTAAGAAAGCTCGGGTTTATCAAGAAGAATGAATTACATGTTTCAAGCTCGTTTGTGAAAGGCGTTAACAATGACATGACTGAGTGAACAAAGGTGTCGGTCGTGAGTCTGACGCAGCTTTGCAGCTGGCCCGTGCTTACATAAGTGAGGCTCCGCTGCCTTGTTAGCGTCGCGCTACGAGCTTCCCCAGCGCCATTCGTCATTTCGTATGAGCAACATTACCTTCACCTCCGTCCGCTGCCTTTCAGCCTACACACCCTCCACCAGTCATTTACACGTCGTCGCAATCTGTGATTGATCTTATCACCGCAAAAAGGAAATTCAACCGCCCAACGGTCGCAATCTAATTACCATTCACGCCCCCGGAACATTCACGTTAGCCCGGTAAGTCATGGACGGCCCGTTAAATGCTCTCATTTACTGACGTGGCTCCTAGACTTTCAACTACACCCGAATCATCATGTCCGACGCCGAGGTTATCGAACAGAAGCGCGAGGAGGATGAGCGCCTCGATACCGCCGAAGACCCCAACGAAGAGGTACGATACCATCCACCACAACGCGCGCGTTAGATTTGTCGAGGATAGCGGGCGGCTATCGCGCATACAAGTTCCGACATAGAGGAGCATGCTGACAGTGCAATGCAGGAAGAGATCTCAGCAATGAGGCGACGCGTACAAGAGATGGAGGAAGAAGCCCAGAAGCTACGCCAGATGCAGAGCGAGACGGACCTAGAACGCCACGAGATGCGCGAGAGCAAAGAAGACGTCGACGCGCGCAGTGTCTTTGTCGGCAACGTCGACTACGGCGCTTCCCCCGAAGAGATCCAGGCACACTTCCAGAGCATCGGAAGCATTAACCGTGTGACCATATTGCTCGACAAGTTCACAGGTCATCCCAAAGGGTCAGTACTAAGAGGAGGTTTTCCTTGAACGATTTGCGCATTTCCAAGTTTTTTATTTGCTTTCATGCATCAACAAGTATGCGCGCCTACAGTCGCGTCCATGTTGTTGGGGTTACTGTTAGGCGAAAGTATCTTTCGCTACCTGGCAAGAGTTTGGCAGAAAGATCGGAACGCTAATGAGCGTATGCAGGTATGCGTATGTGGAATTCACAGAACCGCATCTGGTCAATGAGGCCTTGGTCCTTGACAACAGCCAGTTCCGCAGCCGGAATCTAAAGGTATGAGAACAGCACAATTGGTACATAATACGCGACCGGTAGCTAACAAGCATCTAGGTCGTCCCCAAGCGAACGAACCTCCCCGGTATGACACGAGGCGGACGCGGCGGCCGAGGCGGTCCCCGAGGCGGATACGGCGGACGCGGCTCACCATACGGTGGTCCTCGAGGTGGCTACGGTGGCGGCTACGGCGGCGGCGGCGCTCCACGAGGAGGCGGTTACCGTGGTGGATACCGTGGCGGAAGAGGCGGATCGGCATACCGCCCATACTAAGGGCGCGACACGACGACACCGGCACGCGCTATACCACCAGACCTAGGTCGCCCGTTTCTGTATTGCTATATTGGTGTTCTCGAGGCAAGGGTGAAACAAAGGAAACAAAGGACACAAAATTGGATTGGGGAGTCGCGGTGACTATCTGTAAGATCCGGGGCTTGTACTATTAGGGATGATTGTTGGACACATGTCGTGAGGATGCGGCGAAAGGGCAGCTGGAATTCTTATCAACCGGGTTTTCTGAGGGACCGGATGGGTTTAATATATGTTTCTTTGCTTCGTTGCGTGCAGTCCTTCATCTCGTGTGTTTGTTGCTTCGGCGGGATCACGCCTCAGATTGAGTATGTTCACAGTTGTCATGGCTTTGTGTAGCCAATAACATGAATATCAATTTGGAATACGACAGAGATGAATCAATCGTGTATATTACTCCAGACGCAATATGCCAGGAGACTGAGAAGAAAGTCAGGTATCATAGCCACATGCGGCTTTTCTCCCACCATCTAAGCACCCGTACAATGCTTGGGAACCTCGCCCAAACGCCAGGACCCGTATCTCATCAAAAGGACGTTTCCATACTAAGCGCGCCTCGACCAAGTAGTCAAAGGCAAAGAAAGAAAGAAAATGCAAGAGCATGTCGACCTCGTCTGAGCAGTATCCGCCGCAGCCGAGTGGAAGACAGCTTGACCACGGCATAACAGCTCATCAAGGCCTGACCACACCATCCCGTACCCAACCTCCATAACGGCCCTCACGAGCCCTCGGTCACATATAACCAAAAGGTATCTTCACCCCACGGTACACCACCTCTCCCCCCATCTCATCCCCGACAATATGTAGCTCTTCCCTTGGCGCTCTGACAACGTACTACGGCGCCGGGTTCTCCTTGACGATCTGCTTGACCTTGCGCTCGTACGCCGCCTTGTCCTTTTTGAACAGGTTGAACGCGTCGGCTTGTGCTGGCGACTCTGGGTTCGGTTCGTCGAGCAGGGATTGGATGCCCAGCAGGATCTCTTTGATGTTGATGGCGGGCTTCCAACCCTCTTCTTCGTTGAGGATGGAGAGGCAGACGGTGCCGGAGGGGTAGACGTTTGGGTGGAAGAGGGGTGGGACGAATTTACCTGTGAGCGGGTTAGCTGTTAGCTCCTGTTAGGCAGAGGGGTTGCGGTTTGGCGGAGGAGGAATGGGCATGGGCTGAGGGATGTGTGGGGACGTACACTTCGGTGGCTTTGTAGGGTATTCATCTGGGAATGCGACTTCGAGCTTGAATAGACCGCCTTCCCATATCGTCTTTTCTTTTCCTGGTATGCCGCATTCCCATCGCTTCAGGTCCATCATGCCGTTGGAGCCGCGCATGGGCTTTGCGAAGAAGCCGAAGGGGTGGTCTCGTCGCCATGACTTTCTGGCTGCTGTGTTAGCGAAGATAATGTGCGCTGGGGAAGTGGAGCGCGTACCTCTCTTCCGAGAGCCTGTTGACGCAAAGAGACATGGTGTCGGTGTAGATGTAAGGCTGGCCGTTGCGCCTCTAGCTTGTCTCGTGGATTTCCGTGCTGATGTACCGACAGAGCGTGCGGTAAGGATAGAGAGAAAACTAAAAACGGCGTCTTATATATCGCGGGCTTGAGCGTGTGGCGTCGCGCTTGTTAACGTGCTACGATAGCGGTCAAGGTGAGGATTGCAGACGGTAAGAGGACCAGGTGAAGTCGAGTTACGGTTGCACGTGACCTGACAATAATTATCGGGCGCCGCAGCGTTGGGATTCGGGGCTAGATCCCGTCGCGCGAAAGGTGGAAGGTGCGATGCGCGATCTGCCCCGCGCTAGGGCTTGGCGCCGGTGCCTGCCCCGCTTATGTGATCCAATGCCTTGTGCGGGCCGAGGCTGACATGGCATGTGTCTGGTCTAGGTAGCTACGATCTCCTTTACCTGTTCCTATCTCTGTTTCTTGGACCCTATAGACCACTTACTGCTATCTCCCAGTGAGATCACACTAAGATGGCTGACACAGCCGCAAAGAAGGAAGAGCAACAACCCGCCAAACCCACATCCACAACCACTGCCCCTCCCCCCGCCGAAGTAGCCTCCGACCCCGAAGAAGACGACCTCTCCGACCTCGACGATGTGCTCGACGAATTCGCAAACACGAAGCTCGACGCCAAAGCCCCCACCGCCTCGTCAATAGAAGCAGCCTACCCCAAGTCCAGCGATGCGCCGTCGTCATCCGGGCCCGGCAGGCCGGCCTCGGACATCTCCCCCGCGGAACTCATGATGGAAGACCAGGATGCGTTCCAGGCGCAGCTGCAGAAGGAGATGGAGCAGTTGCTTGGTCAGGGCGACTTCCAGAAGCAGTTCGACGAGATTATGAAGGAGATGAGTGCGGAGATGGGGGGCGCGAATCCGCTGGAAGATCCTGCGCTTGGGCATGAACATGCACATGCGCATGCGGGTGAGGGTGCGGGGGCGGGCGAGGCAAAGGAGAAAGCAGCGCCGGGTCCGTCTGAGAAGGCGACTGCCGCAAAGGCAGAGAAGACGTTCCAGGAAACTATCAAGAAGACTATGGAGCGCATGCAATCCTCTTCTGATACCGCAACTTCCGCCGCCGCATCCTCGTCTCAAGACGATATCCTCGCGCAGATGCTCGCATCTATGGAATCCGGCGGTTTCGGTGGTGCGGGTGAGGGTGGCGACGAGGACTTCAGCAAAGTGCTCATGGGTATGATGGAGCAGCTTACCAACAAGGATATCCTGTACGAGCCGATGAAGGAGCTAGACGATAAGTTCCCGGCGTGGATGGACAAGAACAAGGAGAAGTGTGAGAAGGATGATTTGAAGAGGTATGAGGAGCAGCAGACGCTGGTTAGGGAGATTGTGGGCAGGTTTGAGAGGAAAGGATACAGTGACGACAACGCGCAGGATAGGGAGTATATTGTTGAGAGGATGCAGAAGGTATGTGATTGTTTCTTGAAGCGTGATGCGACAGGTGCTAATAATTATGTAGATGCAAGCCGCTGGCTCTCCACCGCCCGATCTGGTGGGTGACATGAATGCTGCGCAGGAGGCGCTTCAGGATATGGATCAGGGCTGCCCGACTCAGTGATCTCCTTGCGCGATAACTCGTCTGCTTCATTCTTCCCAGATACCCAATGTACATATGATGCCTTCCCCCAAGCAATCTGTTATACTGAGATGCCAAATTCCCGTCTTACAACATGTGTAGAGTCCCTATGATGTCACTACCAGGTCACCTTCTTTGGGGCGATCCCTGGCTAATCTCGAGAGTCTCCGATTTCGAATGGTTTTTCAGCAATCCATCATGTCCATATCCATCGCGTCCCCTCCGAACGCGTCTTGCGCGCGTTGTGGTTGCTGCTGATCGTGCGCCGCTGTCGCGCACTCCATGAATATCGAGTCATAGTCATCATCATCGCTGCCGTAATGCTGTGACCGCGCATCCGATTCTTGCTCCATTGACGCGATCAATTGCTGTAGCTCGTACTCCTCTTGTGCGGCGACGTAGTCGGCTTCGGTCATCTCGGGATCAGATTGAGGCGCGTAAGTTGGGAGTACAGGTAATGGCGCGTCGTCCATGGTCTCCTCATCGATGTCGTCATTCTCTTGGGGTGCTTGACGCGCTTTTTCCGCTTCCCAGCGCTTCCGTTCAGATACGAAGTCTAGTTGTTGGATCTGCGTCATCAATTAGCATTGCTAGTCGCGTCTGTGTACGATTGCATCACGTACTTGTTCGCCTCGCGACTCCCACTTCTTGTCGTCCCGATTGTTCTGTACGCGCTTGAAGAACATGTCCCTCCTGCGCTTCGTCGTGGCGTCGCGCGTCTGCATCACCGGATTGGCCTTGAACGCGCGTTGTGGCATCGCCGACTTCTCCTTGAGAGGCGACGACATGGTGAAATCGAAGGTTCGTGGGGCTGCATTTGCGGAGCGCTCGGATAGTGGTGATGATCGCGGTGGCGTGTATGCGGAGTAGTGCGGCATTTGGTGTGAGAAGAAGGATGTCGTGAGCATCATTGTGTGGTGATGTAATTCAGTGGTGATAGTATGGATTTAGATCGCGTGGTAGTGCGGGGTGGATACTGAGATGTGATGGATTTTGGGTGGATGAAGTTGGGAGGGAAGGTGATGATGCGGGCGCGAAATGATGGGCAGTCGCGCTCGCGCGATGGTAGGTGCGTATCGATAAGTCACGTGCATCCCTTGATTGCAGACAGCCCTTCTTGGACGGTCTGTCCCTTCTTCCATGCCGTCAACCACACTGCAAGTTCTTCATTCTGACTGAATGACTATCGCTTCCGACTATATTCGTCCTTTTGGCCTTTGCATCTTCCAACCCTTAGCTACTAACCCGGATCGACGCGCTACATGCCGCAGATGTGGAGGTACTGGATTTGGCGGCTGCAATGTCGCGACACGGACAGTCTTCGAGCTTGAAGCAGCTGCACCGCCTCGATGAGAGTTTCCATACAGGACGAGCAGGATTTTCAGCTCACATCCTGCTTCTGAGCTTCGGTCAGCGATGATTTGAAGATACTCGCAGAGCCGTTTGGTCCAATCAGGATCGTGTCGGTATGCCTTCTGAAGCGCTTCGGTCTCGATTATTACGAAGGCTGTCGGTAATTTGGAAAAGAGGAGGCAGACAAGATCGACCCATTCGCGCTCCGTATGAGTAGCGTGAATCTTTGAGAGGTTCAACTGCTCAGCACAGCTGCTGACCAGATCACCTGAGTGTTGAAGTACCTGGAAAATGATGCCTTTGAACAGCTCCTCGATGGTTTGCGCGTCTGAAGACGTGCGGCCCGAAGGCAAATACCAGAAGACGCGCCGACTTCCGAGCCTCATATTCTGGATAACATTCGTTGCCAATTCTTTCGCTTGCTTTTGCGCACGAATGCCGACTTGAACGACGAGAAGCGACGATCCCTTCCCAAAAGCCCAGTCCAAGACAGTCTTGCGTACTCTCTGTTCATTAGGGCTAGGCAAGCTTGGTGTCGTATCCCGACGCACGAGCGATCGCACTTTGAGCAGGGCTGTCTCGGGCAATACCTTCGGTTCGAAGAATTGCATCACTCCGTTGAACTCGATACGATATACTGTCTTGCTTATACTGCAGACGTCGTTGCCTATCCGCTCCGTAATGCTTTTGTGCGAAGTTGCGACCTGTAGCAGTTGGGTAATGTGGGCTGCAAACTTCTTCTGTCCTTCCATCACGCCCGCCAGCTTCGCATCAAGCTCTCGAAGCTGCGCATGTTGCAGCATCGCTAGGGTATGGACGTCGCGGATCTCGGCTCGAGCGCCAGCGCTGGCAAGGTCGTCCACCGCTTTCGAACACTCCTGGATATGGTTCACCAGCTCTTGATAGCCAAGCTCGAACGGTGTCTTGATAGCAGAACAGATGCGACCCAAAGGGCTTTTCTTGTACCAGCGCACGCAGAGGCGGAGAAAGAGAATGATGTATGTGAACAGCCGTGAAAGCGCAGCTTCCATGTACTGAGTTTGATACAGCTCCGCACTCAGATCCATGCGTGGCAACACGTCACCAATAGAGATGAGGGCTTGCGATAGCTTTTCGAAGAGGGTCGCTCGGTTGATCACCCCCTTTCGATATCAGTACACTACAAGCGATAGGGCAAGCTTGAACAAGGTACAACCTACGATCAGAACGAACTTCATGGCACCCCACACCAGAGCCACGTACTCAGGGTGATGCTGCGCCAGAGTATCCATGATTTTGCCATAGTACATAATGCGAGCAGACAGCCTCTCGAGCGACTGTCTCATCTCTGCATGCTTGTCCTGCTTGCTCTTGTCTTCGTAATCTTTCTTGGCATTCTCCACCACGCTGAAGACATCCTTTATGGACGCTTGGAACTTGTGAGGGACTGAACCGTCGAGGGAAATGTCCAGCTCGTTCTTGAGGTGTTCGATGGCAGCCCGATACGCTTCCGCCGCGATGTTTCGGTTCCTACGGCTTTTAGCCTTCTCTGCACTTCTTCTGATTGGCTGATAATACTTACTCCTGACCCGCAACTGGTGTGTACCAGGACGAATGTGGGTCGCGCACCACTATAACAGACATGTTGACTATGCGATAGTTGTCCAATCTAGCATGCAAAGCTGCCAAATTGTTGCGGATCTAGCAATGCGGGCGATCGCCAACCTTCCATTAAGGCAACTTGTTGGAAAGCGGGCTGTGCATGAAGGCTGAGGCTGTGCCGAGGAAAGACTGCACGCTGCGTACACGTCGACACGCGCGGTCCTCGCACACCAGCCTCTTCTCCCGCACAAAGACGCATCTTCCAATCCACACCGCAAATGTCATCTTTGGATCAGATAGCAAGTCGCCATCTCCTTCACTCGCCAACTTTACTCTACCTCATTGAGTCGCCCAAAGACGTTGTCGACGAAACCGTCGTATAGGACTGGTGTTCGCGCCCACACCGCTATTTCCCGCTCGTCTTGCACGGAAACTCACCCTTCCGTAACGAAAGCCTGGTTCAAAATCGTGGAACACGCAGTGCCGCCCAAATTCGCGAGTCCCTCATTTAGATTTGGATCCAGATTGACTTGACAGTTTCCATCTTACCACCAGCAACCACACAACCGCCAACATTGCGTGGACAAATACCCCGACGAACACCAGAACCTCGTCGGATTGCTGATCCTCAGCCTGCCGACTCTTCAAATAAAAAAAAACGTAAACAGGCATTTCCACAATGATGACCACAAGCTTTTCACCGGGTGTCCTCGTGGGTATGGGACGAACAAGAGCCCAGCCTGGGTCCATCAAGGCGGCAAAAGCTCCACATGATGATACTTACGAGGTGGATACTGCGCAACCAAAGTTTGGTGAGCAGGCAGGGATCAAGCAGACAGGATCACTGTACAACCTTCGGAGGGACCACGGCACCCCTACCCCACCACGTTGGACAGGCATACCGGCAGGCTTGGGGGAAACGCCCCCAGCGGATTCCAGGAGGAGGAAAGCATTGCCACGCGTAAATCTCAAGCGGGATCATGAGACTCTCAACCTTCCGCCCAACAGTTCCGAGAACCTCCCTCCGTTTTTTCGATCTTCAAACCCAGTAACCGAAAGGCCCCAGAATGGCCGTCCGAGGTTTGAGCCTCCAACCCCATCCGGCGAGATCTTCAACGCAGCTGCGCAAACAGCTGAAAACAACAAGCAGCTCGAGCAACAACGCAAGCATCGTAAAGACTATCTCAACGATGTATGGACACGACCTCACGAGCCGCCGGTCCAGCCAAACCGACCTGGAACTGCCGAGGGAACCGCGTCCCCATCATCCCACATGATGACACCTGTTGGGATGAAGACACCTGCGATAATACAGCCGCAACAAGCTATGGCTTTTCAGCCGCAAGGTGCGTCTTCCCAGATTCCTATGGCAAACCTGACCCAGGCACGAGCACAAACGCTGCAAGCAATGACGAATGGACAAATGAGGGGTATTATGCCTCCAGGCGGCCAGCAGATTGATAGACCCAAAACAACTGGGCCCGCCACACCCGCGCAGATGAAGGCTATGCGCAACTTCGGCAGCCAGCAGACGACAACTGCCCATGCGCCGTCAGAAAGCGCTCGGACACAACCTGTTGACAAGTTTGATCATCGGTCTCCAGCAATCGCGAATGAATGGACGTTTTGCTCAGGGCACAGATTTACTCGCGGAGAACTGAAGTACACGATCTCAGAAGACCGCACAACAGACGCTTTCAAGCGCCGTAAAGTGCATTTCATAGCTTTGGGGCAGCCTAGTATTCGAGCCGCTACAGTCGAGGCGCCTCGTATGCGTGAAGCGCGGATGGCAGCTTTGGAACAGAGTGGGAAGCTACGACGCGTCTACGACGACGACTCGGAAGAAGAGGAAGAAGATGAGAGCGATGGAGGAAGGACGACCGTTGGGTGGGAACCGCTTCCGAACTCAAGACCAGATTAGTGGGCATGCGAAAAGGCCAGCCCAGCTACACCAGACCGCACTGAGTGGCACTTCCGCCACCCATGGAACAAGATCTAGTGTTTCAATGTTCTATGAAAAGTGAGAAAGAGAGATGGCGCGCAATTGAAGATTCAAGGTAGTATCACTAGGCTCGTCTGCGGGGGTGCGAAGGATGGGTAAAACAGGCATAGCCCAAGAGGAATTGAAGATAGCATTGTCAGCTTGCAGTACTATCTCAAATTGCTCCAGTTGCTACATAACACTGCATCTCGCAAGCGTGGGCGATGTTACTGTGAACAGTACATACAGGTCCTTGGTTCATGTGCAGCACAACCTAGAAAGCTAGACATGGCGTATTCGTATCGTAAGCCCTTCGAAACTCTTCGTCGCGCGAATAATGAAACCTGGGGGCCTACTTGTGATTGCATGTGCATGTGGCTTGACGACCTCGGTTGGCTTGACCCAGATGGGTTTAGCCCTCAGATAAGCCACCTTCGACCGGTGAAGGTTGGATGTATATCTAACAATACAATACGGAGTCTCTAACTTCCGCGAAGCGGCCCTGCAAGGTGTAATTTTCGCGAAGCGACAGCCCGCATACCCCTAATTCCTTATAATAGCCCTCTTATAATTTATTATAGCCTGTTGCTGCTGCTAGAGGGGGTATAACACGCCTCTTTTTAGCTGTGCGCAGCTCTATCTCTAGTCTTAGCAGCTTCAACGGAGAAGCGGGCTTACTTACACCCGTTAGCTACCTATTCACCTGCGCGGCTTGGCCTATCACCTGGCATATCGATCTCAGCTGCGCTCATCCTCTTTCTCACATCGAAAAAAAGTGACTTTATCCATATTATATTCGATATCGGCCTATGACATATGGCAGCCCATCCCCAGAGAAAGCGCCCATGGAGTCCCAATGGAGCTCCAGGAGCCAGTACCTCTAATTCCACGCAGCAGCCACCCGAGATTGATGCTTCCAAGCGTCTACGCCTGTCGGAGGAGGAATTAGTCGCGCGACGACTTCTTATACATTGCGTAACCTGCTCACATACACGAAAGCATCATGAGAGCCACCCCTCAAGATCATACTATCTCGACACTCCAGTTATGATCGCATCTGATCATCAAGCCAGAGCTTTACACGGTCAAAACCGACTGCGAGATGTGGACTACTACTTGGAAGAACGCCCCGGGTTCAGTATTGTCATCTTCATCGATTACGACTGCGAAGCTTACCACGATAACCTCAAAAACGCATTCACACAAATTCCCATACCTTCGATGCCTGAGGATATAGGAATCGACATGAAGCCATATTTTCGAGTTCTCCAGCAAGATGGACCGATAGCAAATGCGACTTCTGAGCGGCTACAGTTATCGGAAAACCTTGAGGAAGCTCTGCACACGCTGCAAGACCAGAACGCAGACATAATGGACGAGTGGGATTTCGACGAGGATCTCGATCACCCGTATCCGAAATTGGATCAATTCAAACATGTCTTTGTCGGACCTCGTGCACAAATACTAGAGACACAACAACAACGAGAGGATCTCAGGGTGTTGTCTGATTACATAACCGAGCGTTTGGCTTTGGATTACGGGGAGCTGGAACAGCTGTCGGATGCGGGATTGGTAAGCCGGAAACATTGGCTGATGCTTTTCCGACCAGATGATACAGTGGTCACGATGTTTGAAAGCCAGTACCGTGCCTTCAGTGTAAAATCGTGCTTTCTACTCAGTCCAAACACAATCGAAATGGATTGCTGGTCCTGGGAGTATGATGGCAACTTCTTCCAAAAACACGCTACAATGCACATCAAATGGCCATCTAGCTCAGACCAGGTAAAGATCAAGGACCTTTCAGTGTATCCTATTCGTTACGCAGAAGACGGGGTTGTATCTAATTTGCGAGTACGCGGTAATACTTTCTGGAGTTGCCGACGGCGGAGATACGTAAATTACCAAACGCCTCTGCTAGGCCTTGGGTCGCAGCTTGTAAGATCTAAATCTTGGTGAAAAAGAGCTCTGCTTACACAGCCAGGCTAATTTGCGGTATATGGTCGATGCGGAAGCTTACAAGCTGATGCATGGCCGCGATGATGACCCGACATCCCAAAGCGGACTCAGCAGTGAGGAGTTGAAGAAAGACGAACCCCCAGGTGGTGCCTTCACATTGATGCTGCCGGCAACAATGAAGGGGTACGGCTTTCACAACAAGAAGTGGAGTCCGGTCATCGAATCTCTTAGTCATACGAATGCTGATATTCAACACAGATACATTACTTGTGGAACACATTCAAGATATCAAATGGAACAGCGGTGTCTTCGATAATCGACTAGTCCTTGAGGAAGGCAAGAAGGACCTGGTAAAAGCATTGGTTACAGTTCACATTGAGAAAAGCAGCGATATCAAGACCGATTTCATGGACGGAAAGGGTGAAGGGCTCATCATGTTGCTTCACGGCGGGCCAGGAACTGGCAAGACTCTCACAGCAGAAAGCATCGCAGAGCTTGTTCATCGTCCCTTGTATAGGGTGACTTGTGGCGATATTGGGACAGATGCCGAAAGCGTGGAGAAATACCTCGAATCGGCCCTGTTCATCGGCAATACCTGGGATTGTGTCGTCCTACTGGATGAAGCAGATGTGTTTCTCGAGGAGAGAACAAAGATGGATCTTCAACGCAACGCGCTGGTCTCCGTGTTCCTGCGCGTCCTAGAGTACTACGATGGTATCTTGATCTTGACGACAAACCGCATCGGTACCTTCGATGAAGCGTTCAAGTCTCGCATACAGCTTGCGCTCCACTACCCGCCGCTGAACAGAGATGGCCGTTGGGAAGTCTGGAGGAACTTTGTCAAGTCATTGTCGGAGGCTGGTGAGAACATCAACACCGAAGAAATAACCAACAAGCTCGATATCCTCGCCCGACACAAACTGAACGGTCGCCAGATTAGGAACACGATCAATACAGCTCGCCAACTGGCGCGGTACAAAAAAGACTCATTGCGCTACGCGCACGTGGACCAGGCAGTCCGGGTTGTCAACGAGTTTGAGAAGTACGTGACCGACGTACACGGTCATGATGATGAGGAATATGCGCGAGATCAAGGCTTGAGAAACGATGATGCTTTGCAGGTAGACTGATCAATGTTTCCCATTCAATAGTTTTTTCTTTTGGGTAACCTTGGTGTTTCCTATCACTAGTTACCTCAGTAGCACATTCATTGTAAGCCGACAAAACGCAAGCCCGATGACTTTGTTGATACTGAAGTAATTATGTCGCAATGTCGTTGGTCTCTCAGGTGCTACAGTCGCAAGTCCTGCTGGGTAGCGAAGGCAAGTTGCAGCCCGCGGCCCTGCGGATGACTTTGCCAAGGCGCTAACATCGAGACGCCGAAATAGCTTCGTCATTTGACGTTGTCCTGCCCTCCGCCCAGCACTCTTCCATCATCAGCCTTCCATCCGCAAATCGTTGTCTGAATGTCCCACATCGCGCACAAGTGATAGCCACAGCTAGCACGCTGTAGATTCGCCAGATTCGCCACATCTGCAGCCGAGTGAGATTAGCCCTCGTTAGAGGCCGATCTCGCCTGTCATTGGAGTGCACTTTGAGGGACCGAGATTGCAGATTGTCCATACACACTTCTAGATGCCCTAGGGCAAATCTAGATGCAATGGGAATGCGGCACACGCAGGTGGCCAGTGAGAAGGTACCAGAGTGCATTAGCGCACCCAGGTGCGAAAAGCTACGCTAGCTCCCTGCCGACCCGCAAGTCCTATGGCCGCCTGTGTTAAGTCGGCTCGTCTCGCGTGGCGATATGCAAACTTTCACTTCATACCTCACGATGTCTGATGTTTGTTGAATGCAAGTATTTATTGTTTCTCTCTACTGTTGCAACGGCGAAGCATGGAGCCTGAGAAAGCTAGTGGACGCCTCCGACCTTTCGTGGTTTAGTCGCTGGTATCGCGCATCATGGGTCAACATTTGGACAGCCGCGATGAGACCAAAACGGACCGCTATGGGATGAGGAGAGAGCGCGATGTGCTGCTCCTCTACGGCGCGGCGTTTCGCAATATTCCTCACGTCGACAATCTGGAAAACCATGTACCCCGCTTATCCCCAGATTCGACTCTGACAGCCTTGTGTCAACTTACAGCTATCCGGATGGGGGCCCAGCGGTCCATGATATCGCTCCTCGACGATGAACGACAACACATACTTGCGGAGGCGACTTGTGACTTACCGTTGCGGCCAGAAGCACCAGGTGACGCTCCAAACAGCTGTTGGCTTGGGAACGTAAGCATCCCGCGGAGCTGGGGCATATGTGAAAAGGTCCTGGAACTGAACCGAAATGAGAACCCAGTCTTTATCATCAACGACCTCACGAAGAATAAGGGGACATGCTTTCGAGACGATGTCCAAGGGAATTCTGATATGCGCTTCTACGCCAGCGTCGCGTTGATGTCTCCCAACGGCGCAATAGTCGGATCGCTATGCATCTTCGACAACAAGGTTCGAGACGGTCTTTCCGAAGAAGAACTTTCTTTGCTAAGGGACCTGGGTTCTACGGTCATGAGCTATCTGAACACATATACGATCAGAGACCAGTACAGGCGAGGAGAAAGGTTCACTCGGGGGCTTGTCTCCTTTGCAGAAGGCGCTTCTGTTCTGTCTCCTTTCGAGGGAGATGTGCGGCACGATTTGACAGCAGTCGTTCAGACACCGTCAGATTACTCTTCCGCGGCGTCCAAAACGGATTTGGACGGAGCGAAGGATACGCGAGATAACGTCGGAACGAAGCAGACTACTTCTGTTCAATCACCATCAGCAATGGCCAAGACGAGTCGTGCCAGATCCAATAGACATCGGTCGATCGGTACACTTCGTAAGGAATATCTCTCCAAGCTTCACACGGGATACGCACTGACTCGATGCAATAAATCTAGAAGACTCTATTCTACCCACTGACTCGAAGTCGATGTTCTCGCGTGCTGCAAATGTGTTGATGAGCTCAAGCGATCTGGACGGAGTGCTAATTTTAGATGCGAGCGTTGCGGCAAGCGGGGGACAGCGCCGCGGCAACAGCGCCTCAAGAAGCGATACTGACGCCCCCTCCGAGTCGTATAGATCTAGATCTTCAAGCGATGAGGCAAGCTCCAACAGTACCGAAGGTTATGCCCGCGGCACTTCTTCGTCAAGTTCCAAAATGTGTCAGCTACTTGGAGTAGCAACGCCGAGCGACAAGGAGTCGGAATACGGGACTTTGCTGGAGCCTGACCTTTCCCGCTTATTTCACGAATATCCACATGGCAAGATCTTTACCTTCAACGCTGAAGGCTGTTCCTTATCCTCGAGCGAGGAATCGATTTCGAGCCCCAAGGTTGCTGAACATCTGACACCTGCCCCGCCATCGAAACGCAAGACCAAAGACCGACCGCAGCGGGGATCGGCTGCTATCCAGGCGATGTTTCCCAAAGCACGCAGTATCGCTTTTATTCCCTTTTGGGACTTTGAAAGGGCTAGATGGTTTGCCGGCTGTCTGTGCTGGAGTAATGATCCATACAGGCTACTGTCCGCATCTGTGGACATGGCATATTTCAAGATTTTCAGTCACTCGATCATGAGAGAGCTCTCACGACTAGACGCCGCGGCCTTGGATCAGGTGAGTAAGCGCTTAAGCTAACGACTTTGCAAGAGCTGAGAGATTATCACAGGCCAAATCGACATTCATCTCGTCCATTTCACATGAGTTACGTTCGCCCTTGCACGGAATACTTGGTACACTAGAGTTCATCAAAGACACGCCGTTGGACTCATTTCAGACGAGTATGATGAACTCTTTGCACGCTTGCGGTACGACGCTCCTTGATACCATCAACCACGTCATGGACTACGCCAAAATCAGCGAAGAAATGAAGGTAGTTTCCTCGAAGAAACTGAAAAACGAGAATACAATACGGCTATCTTCCAAGCCAGTGAAGAGCCGGCGAAGAAAGGTTTCCGCATTTGATCTTGGAATCGCAACCGAAGAGGTCGTAGAAGCAGTGTTCTCTGGGTCATCATACATTCCAGCCACCTCCAAGCTCATGGAAGCACCTATATCGCCTACAGATGAACACGCAGTCTCGTTTCCTCCGCGAAGAGCACGTTTTGTCGTTTTCGATTTGGCTTACGATGATGATTGGGTCTTTTCATTTCCAATTGGATCGTGGAGAAGAATCGTGATGAATTTGTTTGGCAACGCTGTCAAGTATACTGAAACGGGGTACATTCATGTTTCCTTGAGATCCAACAAGGTAGCTGAAAATGCCGATGCGCCTGTAGCGATCACACTCACCATTACGGACACTGGCTCGGGCATGAGTTCTAGTTTTCTCGCGAACCGCCTCTTCCAGCCATTCTCCCAGGAGAATCCTCACGCACCGGGTACAGGCCTGGGTATGAGTATCGTGCGTCAGATAATCGACACGAACGGCGGCAAGGTTGAAGTTAGCAGTGACCCAAAAACTGGCACTAAACTCATTGTCAAACTTGCCCTTAACAAACCAGATATACCTGGTGCGATGACGACTGAACGAGCGCAGTTTCTGTCTTATCTACCAAGGTTAGAAGGTCGGAGGATATGCATTCTTCGCAAGAAGATAGAAAGACCAACCGAAGACACCACTGTCTCCAAAACGGACGAAGGTCTGTTACGCTTCACCAACGCACTGGTTTATACTTTGGAGACGCATCTCAAGATGGAAGTGGTGAAGACGCACGAGTGGGAAGGTCATGACGCCGACATGGTCATCTGCCCGGAGTTGTCCTTTGACTACCTCGCCACAATCCGGAAACGGAGGCCCAACGGCCAACGCGCCCCAGTAACCATCTTTGTGGGGATGGATGCACTCGAAGCAGCGACTTTGCGATCCGATGTCCGCGTTACCAATCGTGAGTCGGTAGTTGAGATCATCACGCAACCATGCGGACCTTACAAGCTCGCATGGGTTCTCAACCGATGCCTGGATCGTTTTGAACATCCCGCCGAAAACCTACAACCTGCCGGAGTCTCTAGTACACTGCCACATCCTCGACAACAATCACACCCCTCTACACCAACCAAGTCGATGCAGAATTCCATGGAGTCTCTCAGCTTGACGTCACCTGAAGCAGTCGCTCCTTCTACCGCTGGATCCACAAGTGTGCAGCATTCGGTTACGTCGCCTCAGGAAGAAGATCCTGTGATATCGCACACTCTCATCGTCGACGACAACATGCTGAACCGACGACTGCTTGTCGCGTTCATGAAGAAACACGGCCTTCAATTCGAACAAGCGTCGAATGGACAAGAAGCCCTGCATAAGTACCAGGAAGGTGCGCGCAAATATGACGTTATATTGATGGATATGTCTATGCCGGTCATGGACGGTATGAGCGCTACACGTGCGATTCGTGAGTACGAGCGGAATAACAATCTGCCACGGTGTTCCATCGTCGCACTTACTGGCTTAGCGTCTTCGAGCGCCAAGTTGGAAGCATGGAGTTCGGGGATTGATCACTTCATGACGAAGCCGGTCAACTTCAAGGCGCTTGGAGACCTTCTCAGGAGCGATGAGGCGCGGAGAAACGCAAGAGTGGGTAATGAGGAAAACGCACGGGCAGATTGATGGGCCTTCTGATGACGGGCCTAAGATTTGACCATAGCGCTACAGCTCAAAAGCAACAGCCGTTTCCGAGAAGATGACGACAGACTAGAGGCCTCTTTGGACGTTAGGTCAACCGCCAGCATCGGCAGATCGCAAAGATCCAGTACATAGTGCAAAATGCACAAAGACACATAACCAGCCAACTACCCTTCTTCCTCCACCGTCACAGTGAACTCCGGCTCCTCCAACCCATACAGCACCTTTCCATCCAACACCCAATTGAACAAACAAGCTCCACACCCGGACAGCGCGCCAAAAGGATTGATCTCCACCAACTGCACACTCCCGTTTTGCTGTAGCGCAACGTCATAACTGAACCCATACCTCAGCAGCAACCCCATGATCTCCTCACTCAACTCTTTCTCTGCGTACGACACAATATCCTCCAACACCTTCTTCGCCCCCACATCAACCAACTCAACAGTCCGCTGCAAATCAAACCCCCACGGCGCTTC